AGAATTAAAACTGCCAACACTTTAATTGTTTCATAAGTTTAATACTTCCATTAATATGACAGAGATGGTGCAGATGGGAGAAGTGATCACTCATGATCCACTATGGCAATTTACTTATTTTATCTAAGGTTCTCAAGAGCTTTAAAAATCTCAACAATCTCAAAAAAAAAAAAAAAAAAGGAAATCATACAAATGGAGCCACGTGCTCCTGTCTCAGTTCCTCCTAAGATTTCCGATGTGTGCATCAAATACTGCAGTGATCCTTAGAAATACACTTCCAGGGGTTATGAAGCAACCAGGAAAAATTCTGAGATCTGTAATGCTATAATGTGATGGAAAGTACTGTGACAGTAGCGGGTTGCAGCAAATGAGAACAAGTAGAAATGTAGAAGCTGTGGATGCAGAAACAAAATAAGGAAAGCTGCTTACCTTTGGAAGGTCTCCAGTAGGCAGAGGTCTCCAGTGAGATAACCTCACCTCCACTGCCAACCCTTAAATGAGGTCTGGGAAGAGGTGGATCCTGGCTCCAGCCCTTCCAGTCACTCAGGTGCAAGCAATTCACCTGAGCTCCCCTGGCTTGGCCCTGCCTTCCCACCAGGTGCTAAATCAAGTTGTGACTTAGCATTTCCACTACAGAACCTCTATAGGGGAATGACTGGCTCAGGTGAAGAGGCACGGTAAGTCAGCTCACGTTGCTTTGCCTAGCAGAATAAGCAATGTCTACTGCATTAAACCAAGTGAAACTCTTGTTGTAGAAATGCTAGATGCTGTGTGAGCAAACACTGCAGACTACTAATAGCTCTTCAAAAACCTGAGCATCCTTGAATACACACAGCTCATCAAGAACGCTGCTTTGAAATGCAAGTGGGTAGAGCTGCAGTGTGCGTGACTAATCTCTGCTGGAATGCATGGAAATACCTTTGGTATCCAAACACATAGCACCAAACCAACAGGCAGACATTCATCTCTGCACAGGGGATATTGGTCGCCTACCAAGTTCAGTACATGACACAACTGTACAAATGTTAATGGTCATTTTTAATTATGTTTGAAAGCGCTTAACTAGAAAGATTGATCTAAATCATTGGCTCTGATCATTTTGTATTTATGTGTAGTATTTTTAAAAGATATGTCTGGTAAGCATTGGAAACATAGATAAATGCATTCAGCTTTGTTCTGTTGATCAGGGAGATATAGCTTACGTGTACACATTTATTCATGTAAACATACAGCAGAGCACTATGGATTTGATTCGAATTTTCATACTTTTCTGTTACCCAATGTATTTCTTTTACAAGACAATGTTGTCCCCATGATTCCTGCCACAGTCTAGTTGGATGAAAACTTAGCTCATATCAGAATGTAGGAAACTAGCATTCAGTCATTTTCACAGTGTGCTCAAATCTACCTGGAATGTGCTATATACAGAAAATGGTTCCTCCAAATGTGTCTATTTAACACCAAATTTCATAACCTTAGCCAAAGTATCAGTTTGTTGCTGGTTCCCTTATAGATTTTGGTGTGTGTCTGCTCCCTTCTACACCTATTTTTTTTAATAAACAAAAGCCTTCCTGCCTCATTAGCTACAATTAAGTGAAATATCATTCGAATTAAATTACTAGAATAAGTTGAAATGAAAAAAAAGGAACTGTCTCCATTGCTGAAGTGTAGCTATTCTTTCAGGAGTACTTTTAGCTTTTTTTAATCTGAAATTAACATGCTTTTGGATATATTACATTTTAAGTATAGCTCCTTCAGAAAAACAAAAAGGTGATTAAACTCCTTCACAGATTCAGTTTTATTAACTTCACAACAGTATATCTTAATATATTTTTCAACTATTTTAAAAATCTTTCAGTCATTTAGGATACTTTTTTTGAGATAATTCATTGGGGGTATTCTGGAGCTCAGCTGTCCTCCTGTAGAAACAATACATTCAGCAAAGACCAGAAAATGTGTCAGCCATTAAGAAGATAAATTTTAAGAAGGCTTGTTTTCCTCTATGGGGAACAAATGAGATTTGATAGGTCAGCTCAAGGAAACGTATATAGCTCTGCTGCATATTTGTAGCATGAATTTTTTTTAATCACCGAAAGCATTTCCTAGAAAGTTTCATATAAGAGACCAGTTGCCTTATATTGATTTTCACTTTTTAAAATTTCATTCATTTATTGGCAGCTTGAGATGGCAGCCTCCTGGATTTCACCAAGTGAACTATCATTAGCAAACAACTACCACTACCATTGGTGCTGGAGGGGTGGGCAGGTAACCAAGGCCTGAACAAGCCTATAGAATTACGTGGAAGTATGAACTGGTGGTAAATTCTGCAATAAGAAGTTCAGAACTGTGGATCAAACATAGTCAATGAGGGATTGATTCTGCCAAATATTTTCCTTAGCACTGTAGTGTCCAACATCAAACTTGCACTTCTTCCATACAGTTTTACAAACACATGTAGGTGACATGTAGTATCTATCAGCACAAGCAGGATGAAACTTTGATTGCCTGGTGACAGTACACTGCTAAAACTAAAACGAATGGCTGTCTTAAGTATTTAAATGAAGCTTACTAATAGATTATGCTTTCTCTACATAGCTTTACTTTTCTTTGAAGTTCCAGGAAGCTTCTGAAAACAATGTCTTGAGCTATAACACTGATCCACGGTATATTTCTTTCTGCCATGGCAAATTCCAAAGACATTCTATAAAAGAAGAACTTCAAATAATAACATGGGTTTCCATAGGTACAGTGCCTTAAGCTTTCCAGTGGCACAAATTCAGGAGTTCACCGAATCCTAGTTGGAAGGGACCTCTGGAGATCATCAAGTTCATTAACTAGTTCACATGTACTTTAAAGCCTATCTGAATAGTTGAAAATACTCAAAGGAAATCATTAATACTTGATGTCTCAGCACATCTTTGCTAATGACAAATTAAAACAAGCCCTGGAAATTACTTTGGGAATCTAAAAAGACCTTCCTATCATCTCGGTTGATTTGGACAGAAAAGGTTTGCTCTATAGTAACCATTACAGAAATAATGGCCAAAGCTTGTGTGTATGTAGATGCTACAGATAAAGTAACAGTGGCAGAGGTGATTCTCCTGCTATATTTAGCTTTAGTGCATTCAGAGGTCAGCAAAGCAAAGCTGAAGGCACATCCTGTGAGGAGAGGCTGAGGACAATTGGGTGTCCTGCCTGGAGAAGAGGAGAGGTGACTTCTCTGCTCCCTGCAGCTCCAGAGGGCGGTGCAAGGCTCTGCTCTGGAAATGGAGGGCAGGAGGGAATGGCCCAGAACTGTGCCAGACCAGGGTCAGACTGGGCACTGGGAAAATTAATTTACCATGAGGGTGGTCAGACACTGCAACAACCTTCCTAGGGAGGTGACTGATGCCCCATGCCTCTCAGTGTTCTAAAAGCATTTGGAAAAAGCCCTCATTAATATACCGTAGCTTTTGTTTAGCCCTGAAGTGCTCAGGCACTTGGACCTAATGATCTCTGTAGGTTCCTTCCAATCGAACTAGTCTGTTCTGTTTTATTAATTCATTTTATTTGATTCCAACTTCAGTGTGGCTTTCTAAGAGTGTCCTGTTACCCTCCTGAATTGATGGCCAAGCATTGACCAGCTTTCCGGAAACACAGATTTCCTTCCAGTTACCTCCTGAAAAGTAATGACCATTTTTCTGCTGGATGTCTTCAGCGTGGTGCTCCAGGCTGACGCAGGACAGCAGGTCCAAGTGAGAGATGGCTGGAGTCTCAGACAGAGAAAACACTTGTACCAATACATCTACCAAAATTTATTACCTACCTGGAATGGAGAGGCAGTGCACTGTGCAGCATGTGCAAGCATGAGTGCATTGTACATTTATTTATTTCTATTCATGTACTTTCATATCCAGTTTGTTCACTACCAACTGCTGAGAAACATCAAAAATTAAAGCAAATGAAATCACTTACTTTTGTCTTTTCCAATTTGTAAATGCACAGCAATGGCTAGGATAGGTGAAGTTTGCCTCAATCAAAGATCTAAATTTGCTTAAATCAGGAAGTTTTTTTAACTTGTATGTAGACCTCGCTCTTAGCTTCTTAATGAATTCTAATCCATGACTTGGCAGGAAGCTGATTCTTGTCCTTGATATATCCCTTTAAGAAAACATAGGAAAATCCTGGTAAAAAGCAAATTTACTTCAGCTACATAGTGGATACGTGTTATAGATTGTCCTACTCATTATCAGAGTAGTGATTAAAAAGAGATCAACTGGAAATTTATGCTGAAAACAGAATCCAGGAATAAATAAGGGTTCCTCAAGGAAATCTGAACTATTATTCACTGTAAACAGCAATTAAGAGATGTTATTTTGATTTGGGAAAAAGATGCCAGTACCCCCTTAGTAAGGATTAACAGTGACATAAACTAGCTCCATATGATTCTGAATTTAGTAAATACTGAAATAAATGCATTCAAGAACACTGTTACAGGAGAAAAAAGTAGGCTGATGAAGTCACAAGAGAAGTTTGTGATGTCCCTCATGAGCATCACATCATGCAAAAGCCACCACGGAAGAGGCAATAAACACAAAGTGAACCCCGTGGGGGTTACAGATATGAGGAGAGGTTGGGGATTTCAGATTTTGTACTCATTAGGAAGGAAAAGAGATTAAAGAGAGAAAAAGGTGATACAGTTCAAACTGTGAGGAACAAAAACATCGAAATATTTCCAGAGGTTTAACAAACGAAGAGAGTATCGACTGAAGCAGAGGAAGGGGTAAGATTACAGGAGGTTAGGAGAGATGTATTTATGTGGAAGGCAATTACTTTGTGAGACAGGCTATCAAAGGCAGCTACAGACGTATTACAGAGAGCATTAGTGAAGCTTATAGGAGGAAAAACATGGTGCAAAGACTAAATTGAGACTAGTGCTACACATGTAGGGAAAGGGAAAAAGAACCAATGTCACTCCATTTCCAAGGAACCTGTCCCCATGGCGTAATATCCGGGGCAAAACATCCCCATGTTGCCTAGGCTAGGGACAAACTGTGTCCCTCAGCTTGTGACAACGGGAGAATATGTTTCTTTCTTCTAGAACAAAGTAGAATGGACGATACAAAATCACCCTGTCCTCCCTTAGCTCCCATGCTCTTAATGGACAAGAGTGATGCAGCATGCAGTCTTTGCTCTGGTATTCATTCTCTTACAAAAGAAACTAATTTATCCTAATAAAGGAACTGACAACATTTGTCATTTTTTCCATGCCCCCCCTCCAAGATACATCCATCTATAACAGTAGGATGGTAGGACAACAGGTTATTTTATCGCTATTATACAACATCACAACAGGCACAAAGTGTTTTTATTATCATATTAATGTAGAAGAGTGGTGCCGTGTGAATAGGAAATTAGATTTCAGCAGCACACTGTGAAGTTCAGACATTTGCCATGTATGATGCACATTTGCACCTCCATTCTCTTCTCTCCAAAACAAAATTAACACAGGAATGCACAGTCTGCAGCATAGGGTGGCCCCAGCTAATATAACAGTTATTGACTTTGGGTAAGGAGGGTCTTTGTCTCCATGCTGTGCCCACAGCTGGAAATTTTGGAGCTGGATCCCACACTCCTGCCCTGCCCCAGGGTTGTAGCTTCAACTAGAAGTACAAAATGGACTGGTGGAGGCAGAAATGCTTAGAACTTCCACTGGTCAGGCTGAGAGAGCCCAAGGTTTGATCCTGGGCTACATTTGGGACTGACCTGTGTCTTACAGGAGCAGTTGAAGAGAAATTTCAGACTTTAATTTCCGGCTTCGACACCTAAAGTAGTAATTAGGTAGCAATAAACAACTGCAGTTGTTTCAAGGACTGAACTATTGCCCTTAGTTGCCTGCCTTGAAAACTGTCAGCTAGAATAGATCTTAACGACTCATCAATTGAATAGCAGTTTTCCACCTACATTCACAGACAACATCACTCACAGAATCATTAAGAGTCTCTGGAACTTCACAAGGGTTCATATTCCAACCAAGAGCATGAGAAATGTTTTCTCTGTCTCACTAGCTAGAAATCATCAGTGCCCCAAATGGTTAATATACAGGGTGGAAGCAACAAATAAACAGGAGTACTCTAAGCTTAAAAATAACTAAGAAAATATTACCGGATCTGTGTCTCTGTGCATCTTAAAACAATCTCATAAATACTGAATATTTACCCGTGAAAATACATTTTTCTTCTCTTAAAAATTCTTTTCTTTGTTTGTGTGTGTGTGTGTGTGCTCATTATTGCATGTAAACCAAAGTGAGTTGGGGAAAGTTGTAAACTACTGCAGGGTTTGCTGGGATGTCTATTAGAGAAAATTATTGATATACCATCAAGGGACTCTCCCAGACAGGAAAAACGCAGACATTGTGCAGGTGGTTTAGTAGTTTTATCCACTGAGACATCATGGAGCAGAATTCAGTGCAGGGATTCTTCGGGACGTTCCTCCCTAGTTACAGGACTCATAAATTAAATACAGAAGATGAACAAGAAGATAAAATAGCAGTGGGAAATCAAACCAGAAAGCATTGGTGATGGGAATACACAGTGTATTATTAATGCTTGGCTGCTAGTCATCAGACTTGACAGAGGTTGGTGTGGGAACAGCAAAATGAATCTGACTTCTCTTCCAACCTCTTCCTCTTCCTTCTGGGAATCTTTTTTGAATTACTCAAAACACTGACCAGATGATAGTCCAATTTAGGTTTGAAAGGAACATAGCGGAATAGCAAGGCATGGCTGTCAGAGCAGAAGCCAGAAAGGGGAGACCAATAGTGAGATCAGTTTTTCTAGCAGATGTATCTGAAGTGCCCTCTGGCTGTGCCTCAGGGTATCAGCCGTCCTCTTGAGGATCCTGTAGAGGTCTATTGTGCTCCACATCTGTGGGGTTCCTGTTGTAGTCAAATTGCAAGGACAGGAAAGACCATGGCCATACCTTGCACTGCTTCTGAGGCAGGACACAGCCAGAGAGCTCAGCCCAGAATGGATCATCATTGATCAGATGAACTATATTTATAGAGAGGGGGATGCTGATAGTCTCCCTGGAGCTTCCTGCAATTTGCTGGTACCTCCAGCATGATCTTAGTGCTTACAGGAGGCACAGTTTCCTAGGGACTCCAGTAAAAGTTCATGTAAGTCACCACAGCTGTGGGAGCACCAGAAGAAGATTAAATGAAATAATGGAAATAAAGCATATTTCTGTATAGAAGGAATGTGTATATGTGTGGGAGTAATTAGCCATTTGATTTCCTTGCTTACGGTCAGCACTGAACTCCTTTAACTCAAAACTTGACATCTTTCCAAAAGAGAGATTCTAATTCAGCCAAAAGAGGAATTGATTGCTTAGACTGTGCAGCCTGCATAAAGCTGACTAAGTTAGGTGCTTCCTGACATTACTATTTGTGTTTGTCGTTCTTTCATGCTCTTTAAATATTCTGAAATATAAAATAGGGATTGGTCTTAACTGACCACAGAGCGCTGGTTCAGGAAAAACAAGAGTTAAAACATCCTGATGTTCAGCCTAATAAAACATGGCAGCCTGCAGCACAAATTCGATTTCAACAGCCCTGTTTTTCCAGCAAAGATATGAGTATGGGTCAGTCATTTCCTCAGCATTCCAGGTGTAAGCCACAGTGACAGATGAATAAGAAGTCTTTGCTTTCTTGATCTCAGTCAGATGAAAAGGTAATTTCCCATCCACAGAACAGTGGGTAGAGTGGTAGTAGAACAGAAAAGTTCTTACACAAGTAATTCAGTGTTAGAAGTTGAACTATCAAATGAATCTGAGCTACAGCCATATCAATTTTATAAACCTTTTGAATCACTACAACTTGCAAAGAAAATGCATTTACTTTTTGGTACAGGAACCAATGCTTTTCCAAAGAAACATCAACAATGATATTGCTGAAAAGATGGCAGTCTTTTCCAAAGGAGAAAGGCACTGAGGGAGTGATGGAAGAGGAATAGAATACAGTAACACATTTTTGTGTCATAGATGCACTGACCATCACCACATGGAAAAATGCCTTCAGAAGAGCTCTTGTCTGAGGCTCAAGGTTAACCAGTCATTTTTCTCCCTCATTTTTTAGATTTCTAACCACTTTAATCTCTACGTAACATCTTCCATCAGCTCCCATCTATCTGTTTTCCCCTTTTCTGATTGACTCCTAGCACTCTCTGGATGTCTAGGACAGATGGTGAGAAAGAAAGGATGTGATGAATTTATGATTTGTGACACAAGAAAAAGACACCTTGTCTTTGTTGCAGCTCTTACAACCTGTAGGTTGTGCTCAGAAACACAAGCAGTTGTGCACTCTCACAGATGTTTTACAGCATAGCAAAGTATAGTGCGAAGTGCTGAGATCCAGGAGCATCCTATTGCTGAGATCATGCTCTTCACTCTGCCAGCCAACACAAGAGCTGTATCTCAACTGTGTGAGATATACGTCCCTCTAGGGTAGGGATTTTCTCTTAGGAACTAAGCTTCAGAGATGCAGGGCAGATCTTCACTGTCTGTAAATAGTTTAAGGGTGAGCTATTCAGATGTAAACACTGAGAACCCAACTACTTACTCTTGATTTTGCCCCAAACAAAAAACAAACTGTATTTTCTCTGCAAAAAATGAAGCAGAGCTACAGAGCTTAATCAACTGTGGAGAGGACTTTGGATTTAAATCCCTGGATGTAAAAAATCTAAACGCCCCAAGGACAAAATGAAAACACGGATCTAGATATTTCTGATATGGCTTCCACTTTACTACACTTCCAATTTTGAACTGCAAGATTTGGGAGATGCTGAAATCCAGACTGGCATCCACATGTTCTTTTTCGGTCTCTTCTGTGGGCTTACTAATGAGAAAAGACAAATCTGAATATTACTTACAAAACAACAGGCCCGATGGCTCCTTGGAAGACTTCATCCGGTAATTTTTCTAAGTTGTGATTGTCACTTAGATTTCTGGAAAACACAATTTTGATTCTAAAATAATCAGAGATTCAGATAATGCCTTGCAAAAGTTGCTATTTTCTAATAATTGCTTTTCAGAATAGTAAACAACAAAAATAGTTACAGCTCATCCAGGCAGGTTCCATTAAATGCATGATTCTTGATTTCCTGAATCCCGTTTTTATTTAGCCATCTGCAACAGAGAAAAAAAAAAGTGTACTGATACAGCTTCGTGTGCAAATAAAACCACTGAAAAGGATCTCAAGTGAGAAATTATTAAATGAGTATTTAAATCACCAAATTTCTATGAATCTCAGAAAAGATCCCAGTAGTTAGAGGTAGGACTTGCAGAGAACAGATGTGAAGAGAGCAAACCAGCATCACCATAAGAGATGAGTTAGAGTAAGTTTTCAAAGCAAAGGTGGAACTGATGAAGTCACTGGTGCTGCTCAGCTGCCCTGGGAATCCCAAGGGGAGCCAATAAAGCTGCATCAGGTTAACCCCAACATGAGTGGGACCTTTCCTACTGTTGCTGCTCCTTCTATATACACTTCACTTTTCCCAAGATGCTTTTGGAAGAGCTTAACCTTTGCCAATTATTATTTTAAAATAGGCTGAAGAAGGACAAAAGGATGTGGCTGGTGCCAAACTGCCTGGGAAGCAGACAGTTCTCCTCACACCGGCTGCCTCTTCCAATGTCATCAGCCCTGCTCCACATCTCCCCAGGCTCCTTCCTCTGAGAGGAGGCACAGGTAGGGAGTCATAGGGCTTCCTGCCAAGTTTTTGCTGTAGTGCATTAACTAATGAATGCTTAATGTCCTTCCATCGCTTCCCTTCCTGATCCTGAAAATTTACATTTGGGTCAGTTATGCTTATCATCTTTACGGTGTAATCTTTCATCTCGTTGCGGTGCAACTCACGCTCTCTCCAAGAGGGCATGACAAGTCTGATTGGTGGCAAAACTGGCTTGATTTAGTGACACTGTCAGTAAACACGGACACCACGTTCCTAAAGCACACTGAAAGCTGAGCATGCAAGTGACCCACTTATCTGAGGGCTGAGGAGGTGAGCTCAGCTCGCTATGAAAATCAGTCACGGGTCTGGTTGAAGGGATTACCCTTTTGACCATGGAAGGCAGATGTGCATAATTCCATGCCTACAGTGTGTGTCAGGTCACATCAGGAAAACTGCCATCATCCCCTTTGCTTGCAATAGCACTATTAGACATGAGTGAGCAGGCACACGGGAGAGCGATCTCCCTGCTTATGGCATTTAAAATATTTATTATATTAAATTGATCGTATCCATTCCAATCTACTAGGCTGATGTATATGCTTTAAATCACAGTATTAGCTCATACTGCTTTCTCTCACTGAACATGATGCTAATTCAATGAGACACTAAAGTCATACAGTCTGAGTTACTGTTGTCATACAGTGTGGACTGTACACTCATGTCACCTGGCAAAATGCCTTCAGATAGTAGAGAGAGCAAACAACATTTTACCTACATCCCAAGGCTTTGTTATACCTCCTCCTCAGTTGGACAAGACTCTACTGAGACACATTCTCCTCTCACTTCAACCAGAGCTCTTACTGGTTCCCCTAAATAAGTCTGGAAGTCTTACGATAGCAACAAGTGACACAAAGGCACAAATTAGAGCCTGGACATACAGGCTTTTACTCACCATTTCCTGGCTGTACTGGTATGTTTAAGACCCACTTACAATTCACCTCCTCGGTGTCGATCCATGCATAAAGCAATCTTAGATGCAATCCAAATTACTGGCTTATGCATGCTGGGAGCCTGTTGCAGTAAGCCTGCTAAAATTGGCTCTCCTCAGACTGTGGGGGTTCATTGTGCCTTGGAAGTCTTGAATGCTCGACTGCTATAAGGAGGGCAAATCACACTAAAAACCTGGCATACACCTCTCATCCCGTAGTGGTATTATGGGAATAAATAAGGTATGTGCTGTGCAGTACTCTGACAAAACCACGTCTCATCTGAGCAGCAAAAACTATAATTATAGGAGGAAAGATAAAAAAGTACATTTGGGGTATCATTACTTGAATACATTTGAGATAGCTGCATGAATATCTCATGTATGTGTGTGTGTGTATGTTTAAAACTTCAGGGAACTTGGCATTGACAGGTTGTGGATAACTTATGGAGAAAAAGGAGAGAGAACAGCCCGGTGACTTGTTACTGTCCTCTCTTCAACTATGCATGGTTTGACTCTGCTCCCACCAAAATCGATGTAAACCAAATCAATCAGTCTTTAATTGTTTGTTGTGTCACGAGAGGTTAACTGCACACACAGTGGGAGATTCTTCCAGTCTGGCCACTGGCTAGATGGAATGAAGGCGGCTTGTTAGTAAGCACACGGTACAGTTTGATATGCCAACAGAAGAAGCCAGGTAGTTCATTAAAAAACATGACTGTTTGAGTCAAACGAGGAGTCATCTAACCACACAGCATGGAACTGCATTGTGAACCAGCCTGTATCAATGCATTAACATTGTGTACAAATATACTGTATTTTCAAAACATCTACATCTATTTTGCCAGGGTAGCTAATGCCTTTGAATGATGTGTCTGACTGTAAATATTTATGAGTCACACCATCCCTCTGAATACAATTTGTATCACATGAACTGTTGCTGTAGGTGGAATACATTTAACCTTGACACTAGTAATTACAAAATTTACTCTACCCAGAGGTTCTAAAATAAGGAGCAGAGTTAGAATACAGAAACAACAAAAACACAACACAAAAACACAAATACATTAATTTTTCATGGCAGCAAAACAGAATGCAGAGATTGCAGGACTAGGGGTGAAATCTAAAACTTCCAACTGAATTTGGAAGCCTGTACAACAGAGCCCATCCCACAAAACCCTTAACTCTGCTCTGGAGAAGGAATGAGCAGGTGAGAGCAGTGAACTTGCTATGTCTTACTCACAGAATCACACTTTCAGAACTCAGGCCCATGAATGTATTCCTTTCAATTGTACGTATATGGATATTGTCTTGAACATCTCTGGAAAATAAAACACAACGGAAACAACACCTTTTTTGCACTTCTGTGAGCCTTTCAATACATTATAATATTTCAAACATGCTGCTTTTTGTTATATTCAGTCTGAGGAACTCTTTTATGCAAAGGTTGACAACATAAGCTTTTAAGACCATCTGCAGAGAGCAAACCTTCCTGGTAAAAACAAAAAAGGTAGGAGCAAAACATTTCCAGACTCTTGTTCTGCACCACTCACATACCCACCTCCCAGACAGGTTTGAGCCACTGAAATGCACACAAGCTTGGGTCTTACAACCCAATGGACCATCCAGAAAATCTGTTATCCACTACATACAAGTTGTGTGGCTGGGAGGTGACCGCTTCTTTCAGCCTCCCAGCCAGAAGATGGAAGGACCATTAGCCTTTTTGGTCTGATTCAGCAAGGGACCTGAAAACCCATGAAAATAATCCCCTGCTAATGTCAGTGAGGTTGCTTATAAGCTTGGTCTGTGCTTCAGAATTGGCAATGCAGGACCTCTGTCAGTTCAGTTTGTTGAAGTAACGAGTATGCATTTCAGTCTTTCAGCAGTTTTGACTGCTACGCAAAAAGAACGGCAGATATACATTCTGTTGCTTGCTCAAAATAGACCTCAAAGAAGTTAAACAGCATTACTCATCATTTAGTCTGGGGATACGGTTGTTTTCATGCTGTTTCTTCTGGGAAGCATGGAACAAAATGAATTATCTGCAAAGCTAGAAGTTAAATGAGGTTCCAAAATTATCTCATACCGAGAGTTAAATATGGCCACAGCACTGTATTAACTGACACGTCCACCCTTCTTCATACTGAGATCAGAAGAGGGAGGAATAGGGAGGGAGTGCGGAACCCATAGATGTGAAAGTTTCCCACTGCAAAAGGGAAACAACCAGGTCCTCATAAACACCAATAGCCCATCAGGATCTATCTCTGGGATCTGAGCACCAGAACAACTGAAGCCTCCAAGAATTTTCTCATTGAGCTTCAGCGTAGCCAGGGTTTGAACCAAAGGTCTATTTTGTGTCAAGGCCTTACAAAAAGTGAGGAATTTCACCTAAAAAAAAATCTCTTGCTCAGTGGGACACAGCAATTCAAGTCTAGTTAAGGCTAGGTAAACAGGGGGAAGGTTCGGTGGCTCCGCAGCCGTTGCATTTGCTTGATGGCTTCATGGAGCCCTGAAGTGCAGTTCTCAAAATTATCTGTCAAGCATATAACAGAAAGGTATTTTGTATATTACGCATGTACACAATATTTGTAAGACAACGGCAGGATTAATGTTCCTACAGATTAAGATCTTATAATCAGAGATTCGAAGATTCACAACTTTTTCTGCATGCCATTAATATACCTCATCAAAAAGAAGAGAAGAAATAGTTGCTTAATTCCCATTTTTAGTTTTCCTTTTGATTTTGATACAATTATACTTAGAATTGATTGAAAAAAAAAAATTGGTCAAGATCTTTTCCATGAAAAAAAAAAATTGCTTTTTTTTTAACATGCTTTTATTTTTTTTCTCCCAAGAAAAAAGATGTGGTTTTCCTGGGAAAAGAAACAAACAAACAAACAAGCTTTCCCACAAAATTTTACATATCTTTCCTCCTATTGGCACTGAACTTTTCCAAAGAAGAATATATTACATTCCCTGGGCAGTTTCACAACCAGTGAATTAACTGAGCAAGATATTTTCCAGTGGCTTTTGTTTTCTTTGCCATCCACTGAAAACAGCACAAAGTTCAGCGACTCTTTCCATGCAGACCAGAGAACTGTCACCAGGTGGCAACAAATTCCCACTTCCACCAGCCTGGTTTGAATTTCAGCTGGTGAATCAAAACTAAAAGGCTGTTATCAGTCCCCTGGGACACGTACCTGTGCACTCATAGCATCGTTAATGGAAGAGTAGTTGGCAGAGTGCAAGCTACAATGCTTTGTAGAAAGGAGTTCCAGAGAATAGAGACCCTTTAGGCTACATTATCATCAATGCCTACAAAACTGCAACCAAAAATGCTACTACAAAGCCAATAAGCAAGCACAAGGCAAACTGGATCTCAAAAGATTTTGTTAGAACAGCAAGACATTCATAAGGAGCTTATAAAATCGTTAAAACTTACAGCAAAACCTTCTGGAAGGAGTGCACCTTATGGACAACAGGTAAAAACCTAAGGCCTGTGTTTGATATTAACCTAAGGAGAAGAAATTAAGGTGATTAGTTCTGTTCCTGGAATGAAACTATAATTAATAAAATAAAAAGCACATTGAACCTAATATGGAAGCTGCAAAAAACTGACATTAGCCACATACATGGTGTTTGTCCAGAGGAAACTTGGCCTTCTGATGTAAAAAGGTTTCTGTGAGAAGCACAAGCTGAGTTCTCCCCCACACAAGTCAAGGGAGAAACCATATCTGGGATAATTATATGTTAGGGGGGCACAGCTGATGGTGTTGAATGGTGATGAAAAGCACCGCCTGGGACTGGGAAAAAAGTAACAGCATTCATCTTATGTTTATTATGAATCTAGATTATATCAGAAGAGCTTCAGACTTTCAGGTTTTATGAACTGAAACGAAACAGACAAATATGACAACCAAATCTGGAAGGACCAAAAAGGTCCATCAAATACTCATTCACTTGCATAAGCACTCATCTGAGCTCTCTGAGGTGGTATCTGGATATCCTCAGAGGTTCACATTGAAAAGCCAACTGCTTATCTACCTCGTAACAAAAAGCATTGCATTATATGTAGGAAAAAAAATATATATATAAAGAAGTGTAGTGAATATTCATGAAGCCAATTTGGAAACGTTGCTGAAATGTCAGTGACTGTTTTATCCCGGGAGTCAGAGCGGTCTGACACTGCATTAGCTTCAAAATCACAGCTGTCACTTTTGACCAAGAAAGCTCTAAAAAATGCCTTTGAAAAACTATTACATATGGTTAAATAGAAAGCACGATTAATGAAACAGGTGGATTTCACAAGGCTGTAATTACGTAAAGTACTTTGGAGTCGTGAAAGGAGTTAGCCAAAGAAGTTCGAACCAATGGGAGAGCCTGCAAATCCCCACTTATAGTATTGGAAAGTACACTCTCTAAATGCTGAACAAGTACTGGGCTTTGTCTGGAAGCTGCCTTTCATTTTAAATGAGTCATATACTAAAATTCACGCAATTCTTTTCAAGAGCTACTTGTTAAATACAAATTATGGCATGCCTTTGCTTTTAATAGGAAAATGAAGACAAAAACAGCTGCCAAATAGTGTGTGGCTGTTGCAGGACCGAGGAGAAGACATGAAAAGCTTTCATATCTATTTTACTTTCCCAAGAAAATCTTGATCTTTTTGTTCCTGTAATGAAGGATCATGGTACTTAAACACGTTCTGTTCAGGCAATGCTCCCAGTGGCAATTTATTCCAAACATCACAAAATGTTACACTGGCTAGCAGGGCTATTGCCTTACATGTGTGAATAAACACGTTAGGTGATGCCACAGTCCTGTCTTCCCAGTAATATCCCAAGGTGCTCAGGGTTTGGTTTATACTGGTGTCCAATGAGCAGTGTGGGATGAAGAGCAAAGATGATTCTGTTCTGAGATAAATCGACAGGCACGAGGTACTGAGTGCACAGAGGCACAGAACAGTGGTTAGGAGCAGGAGAGGATGTTCTTTTAATTAATTGCAGAAAAAGAACTGAAAAAACATGCAGCTAGTCTGTGGCCTAGATCTCTCTTCTCTTTTTATTCGACCAGCAAATCTCCAGAGGCCTTGGAGTGGATAATCTCGTTAGAATGTAGATAATCCAATTTACTGAATAACTTTACTGCAGCACAGTTTTGTCAATATCTTTATCATATAACGTACACATCCTTAGTAGCTTCGCTTTAAACAAATGTCCTCTTTAATATCAGCTTAAACTGAGTTCCCCTTTGCTATATCTAAACAGCTCGGTAAGAACATGTGTTTCAAATCGCTGATGGCTGCTTTCCAAAGCATTCATTGTCTTTCTGAGAAGCTTACTGGAGTCAGCATGTAAAAAAAAAACATTGCACTGTGATCACAGAGAACAAAAAGTCTTTCAGAAGTGAATTCCTGTAAGATTCTGGCCGCTTCATTTCCAGATATAGCAACTTCCCTGCTCTTTTTAAACCAAGTTGGTAGGAGCTACTCTGACAAAAGCTGGCAATTAATTCAGCTCATTGACTTACTGTGGATATTTGCTAAATTGCCAACACAAGGTAAGCAATGAAATACTGCATCACTCAGGTAGCATTATTTATGTAGCCCTTAATCAGCTAGTGGCTTTGTGCTGCACATGGGCTGACTACAGACAGAGAGCCCTTTGACTCATGGGAATGGGTCTTGTAGGCTAGAGTCTATAATCCATGAAGCCAAGTCTGTAATCCACAGCACACAATGCTGGAAGGTGGGGGAGGTCTTCAACCAGTAGACTCTCATGCAAAGGGAGTGAATGGATCATCACTTCTTTTAATTGAAAATCCACCTCCAAGCAAAGTTTTCTGTGGATGACTTCTGACCACATGGACATCTCTGCTAGGCATACCTAGCTGCATCAAACAAATGGATTTAAGAAGCATGCCAGGCATCTGTGTGTCAAGACCTCCAACAAACAGGGCAGCAGGTAGAAGCAGCTACAAGCCTACACTACAAAATATGTTGCAGATCAAATAGGTTCTCACGGCCTACATTTTGCTTCCCACCAGCAATGGAGCTGCATGCCCTAAAAATTCATCTGAAAAAAAGGTTACATTTAAATCTTTCTGTTTTAAGATGAGATCTCTTAATGCAGGACATTGATATATTCACTGTAAAAAAGAACCAAAAAAGAAATAGATTACGTATGACACTAATTTTGGCAAGAAAATAGGTTTGAAAAGTCATCACTGCATTATTAAAGAGACAATGCCACAGCTCTCCCTACAGAGAGCCAGACAAATAATCTTGTACTGATGAAAAGGTCAGCAAGTTACCATTTTGAAGCAGACTGTCTCCTTGGCGTGTATCCAAGAAGACCAATTAACAGCCCTCTTCACAGCTTCTAAACGACTGACATAAACTTTTCTGTTTAGGTTGCATTTTTTTAGAAGGCTTAGGAGATCTCAACATTGTCTTAAAGTATTTTTCTCTCCGTAGCATTTTTGCTATACCAGTAATGATGATGTAAGAGGCAGAGGGAGAGGGATGAGTGGATAATGTATTCGTACTCAGGTTGGCACAATTAAAAGCATATTAATGTTCAACACCCAGTGGCTGTAACGAGATCGTAAAGCTGATGAGAGACTGACAACGCTAGCCAGAGCTTCTTGCCTGCTTTAATAAGATCTGGTGGCAATGCAAGCATTTTCGAAGCAGCTAAGAGAGAACCCTGCAAGCAACAACTGCAAAGGTCATTAAAACTCATAGGCGTTGATGCCTGGCCTCCATCTCAGGCATTAACACTGATCAATTTGTATCAACTCCTTTTTATTTTTCTTTTTTTTTTTTTCTTCCCTGAAAACTGTTAGTAAATACTTGTTTTTTTTTCTGCAATATTTTCTGAACTGCGTTTTAACAGTTCCATCACAGTCGTCGCGCTGCCATGAGGAATGAAACTACACATCTCATATGCTGCCACTGAGGCTGGAAACTTTAGAAGGAACAACAACAAGCTCAGGAGTGGGCACGGACCTGAGACCCCTGCTTTAGTGGCTGTACATAGAGAGTGATGTGAGTACAACGTAACTCAGCATCACACCCAGCTCACTGGAAGACTCCTACAGGGACTTCATGTTCTGCTCCAGTAATGCAGGCATGATTAGCTGAAATGGGGACATTCCCTGTATCTCAGAGCAGGCAAAGGAAGGTAGGAATCACTTCTTCAGAAATAACTTCCCAGTGCTCAATCACTCACAGGTCTAGCTGTAGGCACCTCCAGGCTGCTGTTCCTTAGAATAACAAACAAGTGGCATAGCTCTGTTGAGACCCATCTGCACGGCTGGTGTGGATAATGCAGCACAGGATAGGAGTTCCTGTATGTCCAGGAATTGTCCTCCCGTGCCGGTGCATCTGAGGGTGAATTGCAAGTCCAGCAAGTTCCTACCCTGCTAATGCAGCCTCATCTGCCCTTTTCTGGTGGGGAACACAGCTCAGATACTGCTGAAAATCTGTTTCAATAAAACTGTTTTGACCAAATCCCTGTGATGTTAATTGATGTAGCTTCACCAGAGCCAATGATGTGACACTAATTTGTACTCACAACAGAGCTACCTCCAATCCTACTGTTAGCATGAAAGGCACATTCAGCAGTTCATACTCTAGGGATCATAATATCTGCATCTTATGTACTATTTACAGTCTAGAAGGAGTCTTTTTTACCTTGTAGAGTAAGGACACAAATGGGATACAGTATAAATCTGTTAATCAAGTAAACATCAAAGATGGACTTTATCAACGTGGAAGAAAGGTTTGGAATTAAAACAGACTTGAATGAAGAGGATGTCAATAAAATTAGAAGAAATTTTCTAGTCACCAAATCAACGTGTTTCTGGAAAAGCCTCAAAAGCTGAGTGAAACTGAAAGGGTAGGTGAGAGCAATCGCTAGTTAGACAAGCAATCCTCTATCTTTCTAATCTGTTGCTTCTAGAGGTCATAGGAGAGCTACTGCAGCTGAATTTTTATACAAAAAAATCTCTCTAAACATTTGAGTCAATGCACAGAGGAGTATGGAGTGACAAATGTTGAAAGGAGGGAGCATGTTTCTCACTGCTCATAGTGCTGTTTTACACTAATCAAAAGCAATGAACATTTCATCTCTGATGAGGATAAAAAATCCCCAATGTCTAAACTTTATGACAACCTATTGCAAAATACGAAATTTGAAGGAATATCATTGGGATAAGGAACTTGAAAATGAGCTATAAATCCTGAGTGGCAAACTAGATCCTCAGCTGGAGAAAATTCACACTGGTGACTGTAATTTCAATGAGCTGAGGAGTTAGAATCATTCACATCAAATGTTGGTCTGAAAATTTTTGCTTGAAACCGAAGGAAAAAGGCACAAGGTTTCTTCCTGTGACAGAGCAAACTTAAAGTTTTATTTCCCTACTACTAAGAGAGAATCTGTGTTATAGTCACACGCATACAAAAATCAAAGTTTGTCAAAGTGCCTTGTGAATTTGGTGAAGCAGGTACTGGTCCAAATACTGTGTAGAGAGACAACAGTGCAAATCTAGTCACGTGTTCAGATTTATAGATGGTTTAAACTCTAGCAACTTGTATGTCATTAAATAAACAGTGTATCTTGAATTCCAAATATTGAATCTTGAATGTTAAAGTTCAAATTCAAACCAATTCAAACCAATACCTCTTAGCATTTCTGAGCCCAGAACCTGTCAGACTGAAGTGATTTTGGGAGCCCAGAATCACTCATGTTTATTGGATCACTGATCTGATTTCATCCAATCTTTAAGAAGCAGATAATCTGAAAACAAAGCACTTACGTACTCAAATGAATAAACTGTGATCAGTGAAGCTTATTGTATGAGCAATGAAAAGAAGGTTGGGTATATGTGCTCAGCAGGATGGACATTAGAAAAATCAAGAAAATATCCTGCTTCTTTAAATGGTATATATGCCATTTTTCAGCAAAGAGCACTTTGGGAGCTAAGGTCATTAAAAAATATTATGGATAAACAGATTTAATTGGACTGCATTTGGGTTTTAATACATAGCAGAGGATCTACCATTAGTCATGTTAGGATAATGCACTAAGAGCTGTGAAAATATTTTTGAGGAGCAGTTTACTTTAAGGATGGATTCAGTTATCACTGAATCACAATGGCAACCTCATGGGATCTGATATGGCAACCACAGTTGTGCAAATTGCATTCTTGATGATGGTGGCTAATAAAATAAATGTACAGCTTACACCAGTGCATTTGCATTCTAAGGTTTTAATCTTCTCACAACCAATGTTAATGAAAACCACTGCTATAACACTATCATTGCTAAAGAAAAAAAAATTGAATCCTTAAGATCACGTGCACAAAGTTTAACAGAAAGCAGAGTTGTGACAAAGACAGATGAGATTTTGTCCTAAAGCACTTGGGAGGAATTTCAACCAAGATCTGCTTTTATACTGATAAAATAAAGGCATTGATCCTTTTCTCATCACTTAGTTTCCACATGTTACTTAGAAAAGCTCAAAGATTTTGTGTTTGGGGATCACTGTAGGATCTCCATGGATTCCCCATAGAGAACAGTACCTTCAGCTTTTCTGAAGACAATATACAGACTTGAGTATGAAAATGTAGATCATTAATAGGCAACTAGTGAGAGAAGAGTGAGCATTATCCTGTCTTAGTGAAGTGCTCTGCACAGCTTGGATAAAAACTCATACATATAATTTAGAATTATTATCGTGCTTTCAAAGATCAAAAAGACTTACAAATATCTGAGGCTTGGAAGATGCTGGAAGGCATCCTGATCAATCTTCATGAGGTTGTTGGCCTTCTCAATTCTTCTGCAATGGGAAAATGAAACTTCAGGGGAAATATGTGAACGTATAGATCTTAAAATGTCTGTGGTTGCATGCTAGAATATGTGTAATTGCCCAGAGATATAGTGGTACTATTGAGATTTTTTTCCCTGAGAGCATAACTGCTTCCAAAGAGCAGCTGACCACAGACCAGCAATTCCCACTGCCTCCTGATATTGGCAGTGGTTTGAGGACAAGATATAAGCTGAGAAAGGAAAGAATGGGAGAGTTGGCTAAGATGATGAGAAAGACAAAGTGAGATTTCCAGTGTTCCTATATCACTACGAATTCTTCACAACTTGCCTGAACCAAACAGCTAAGTCTTTGACACTTGCCCATAATAGTCTCCTTTGAATTTAGATTGCTTATTACTTACATTTCATGTAGTTTGGGAAGGCTGGAAAACACATTTGCTTCTATGATCTCCAAGGCATCATTCTGTGAGATCTCTCTGAAAAATAATTGAAAAATCAAGATGTTTCAAGCCATGCTTTCAGTAAAAAAGTGAGGCAGACAATGGAAAAGTGAAAAAATCCAGAAGAAACTGGTTCCTAAATTACAGATCCGTTTTGAAAATGAAGTGGAAAACAGATAAGAAAACATACCTCAGAAATGCCTAGAAACTGCCAAAGTTTGCCAAAGGCAAACTAAGGCAGTTCAGAACAGTACACCTCCTGAGGCCAAGCCACCACTGCCTACTGCATTTCTGACATCACTAATTACCAATTGAAATTTATTGCAAGATTTTAACTTGCAGGAGATGAAAGTTATCTAGAAAAGAGAACAAGCCTAAAAAGTTCCCAAGAAATAGGACACATCCTCAAGCTGTAGGACATGCTTTTGTATTGACCTGATGAAAACTCCAGAGATTAAAATTAAGCCAAGAATGGACAGATCCAAATGGAAAGGATCATAGACTTCAAGAACTCTTCCATACCCTGGGGAACCCCCTGCTTGATCTCTTCTATGTACAATGAATACCCTCTTGTAGACACAGAACTGTGGAACAAAAAGGGCCAGCTTGCTGTTATCAACACACCGGATGCATCTCCTGTTAGTTCAGAGGCATATATCTTTTTTTCCTTAATCTGTGGGGTGGCAAACAGATAGCACAGGCTTTATTTAGTATGATTCAGAGTTCAAGAACTCCCCTGGTAAGTCAGAGGGAATTGTTGCCGTGCAACCCATCCTGATTACATCTCTTATGCTGGCAGTGATTGTTGAAGTTGGAATAAAAATGATTACACCAAAGGATTCACCATGGCCATTTTTCAAAATGGTGCAAAAAATGCTATTTCCTAGACTGAGATCAACTATAGGAAGTAAATACTGGACTGCAAGTATAACTAGATGATACTGTGATGGTCTGTTGGATTTTTCTGCTAATATAGCTGCAGACATCTTTGGAATGAAACCTTGGATAAACAGATTGTAAAGTAGTTATCCCTTGCTCTTAGGTATCTTGTTCTTTACAAATTATGATAGCTGCAAATAGATTCAAACAGGCCTGAGGTAAAATAATGGATTATATTATAATCATCTGGGTACAGAGTCGATGTTTAAAAAGTAATCACAAAGATTACAAAGTAATATGAAAAGTATTCCACTTTCTCTTGAGTAACAACTGAACTGCACCTGCTGATTAAAGACAACAGTCTTGCAAAAAATAAATAATAAAAATGATGAGCTGTTCATCTGACCTTTTCTGCTTTAGAAAAACAAGTTAGTGGCTTGGCATTTTTTATTTTAACAAGTAGTTTCCCCTCTGCATCTCAAGGCTTTTAGAGAAGAAGTCCTGATCTCTGCTCTGGAATATCCGTCTTTATCTACGAGCAGTAACAAAATGCTTTCACTGGTTTCCCCCACTCAATGTAAATTACACAGCCATTGTAAGGGATTCTGCACTGGAAAGCTTCCTTCTGAAGCAGACAAAGGGAAGCAGTGGAAACAGGCACTAAAGGAGCAGTGACTTGTTCTGGTCTCTTGCAGTCCCTAGGAGAGCTAGGGTAAGAGCCCAGGTTCTTAAGGTCCTCACTACTGGGGAGGGGTCTGTGGTTACCTTTGCTGTGCTGCACCACAGCGAATTAACTCATTAACATACACCAAAAAATCTGTATTGACTTTTTGCTCTTCTCCTGCTTTCTTTCAAAATAACATATTATAAGGTCTAGAATAGAAGCCGCTACTCACTATGCTGTATTTATTTGGCAGTACAATTCACTTGCTAGACAATTTTGTAACAATTAATGACACAAAAAGGTATCAACTTTCTAAGATTTGGTTTTGCTTCTGCTCTTTTTTGGACCGCCAGCTTTATATTTGCTATTTCCCACAGTCTGAAAATAAGTTTTCTAGGAAAAAAGAATCATCGGAAAAAAAAAAAAAAAAACACACCAAATATTTATTACCAAAAATTCCATTTAGTCAGAAGAGATTTCACACCGCAAAACAGCTCAGGACTAAATGCTGCAAATTTGTTGGCCTTATATAGGCAAACAAAAGTTTATTTAGAAACCAGAGTACAGTAGTGACCTCCCATGAAAGATAGGGCTGTCAGGGCAATGATTTTTTATGATCTAATCTGCTAGCTAACACTGGAATAACTTGGATAACACAGCCCTTCTTCAAGGTGTATTTCAAGTGCTTAGAATGGAACATTTCTGTGTCAGGATGCTGTTTTGGTTTTCTAGGAGTGTGAGATGGGTTCTGTGCTTTGTTGTGGTTAGAAAAATGGGAGACTGAGAACTGATTGAAGTACTGTGTGAGCAGGCTGTGATGCTGAGGGAGGATTGGGGAACATGGGAACATGTGGTTAAGAAAGAAGTGAAAGGTAGGAATCTCTACGCTGTTTTTAAGAGGTTGAGTTTATAAAAGAACTAAATATTACTGGTATGGGGGGGCATCAGATAATTAGGGAAATGACTTAATTTTCATACGAATCTCTCTCTTCATGTGCACAAGAGTAATTATTTTTTTTAAACAAGGAAATGAAATATACCCATTCAGAATGATTTTGCTGTGTTCCATCTCAGGCAAGCCACTGCTGCAGCCATTGTGGTTATGATCCTCTGACTGGGAGCAGGGGGGTCACCCATCTCACTGGCAGAAGCCAGCAACCCTCCTAGTGTCTGGCTTTGTTGTCTCTGCTCAGGGGGCTGCAAGTGTGAGAGATAATGACAAGAAACTCCTGACGAACCCTGCATCCTCTGCTGAAGTTCCCCCAGGAAACCCTGTTGGTGATCAATTACTTATCATCATACTCTATGGTTTAAGCTCTTCAGGAAGGAAACGGGCTTCTGAGCCTTTTCCCAGCATGGAAGTGCTGTTTTCTAACAGAAGTCTGTTGCTATTCTTGGCCTTCTGGTCTCCATGTACCTGTTACTAGCTGTCACTCAGGTAAGAAGGAGAAATAAAGAATGACTCAGTTTAGGAGAGCAGTCACACTCTGCTAGCAAGGAGCGGCACTGCTCTGTGTTTGGCTGCATGATTTCTGAGAACAATTTATTCCTTGGTAAAGAGTGGTAAAGGCATACCCTGCTCATCAAAAACCCAAAGAACACCAAATAACCAACTCAGCACAGTCAGATCCTCTCTTGACGAGAGCAAATAACGCCTGCAGTGTGAACTACAAACAGAAATAGGGGACTGCTGGCCAGTATTTGTGCATGAGATTTGTCTTACGGTATAAATACACATCCATAGAGGATTGTTCATAATGCATATCTTATTATATGTCACCACGAGAGAAGATGGGACAAGTTATTATATTGCTTGTCTGTAATGAATTATACTATTAGCTCTAGTGCTAGCTATCAGACCAAATCTAGACAGCAATTTCAGCATAATTTCTAATACATGCAAGCCTTTGAATAGATACTACGTAAGATAATCAGAAGCAATTTCTTTATAAAAATAAAACCAAGCACTCCCCAACACCCAAAGCACACACTGAGACCTCAGTAAAGCACAACGCTTAAGCATCTGCTCAAGCTTAGTTTCAGTACTTGTTAGATCACATCCAGAGCACTGTATCCAGTCTGGGCCCCACAATTCAAAAATGATGCAGAAAGACTGGAGAGGGCCACAAAGGTGATCATAGGACTGCAGAAGCTGCCCTCTGAGGAAAGACTGATGGAGCTGGGTCTTTTCACCCTGCAGAAGAGAAGGCTTTGGGAAAACCTCATCAGAGTATTGCAGTACTAAAATGGTGGCTATAGGGAGCAGAGGATCTCTCTTCATAAGGAGCCACATGGAGAAGTGAAGGGGCAATGGGTACAAATTGGGTTTCATTCTGATAGAAGAAAGAGATTTTTACAGTGTGAACAACTCATCACCGGGACACCCTCCCCAGGGATATGGTGGAGGTTTTCGAGATGCAGTTGAACAGGGTACTGGTTAATCCCATTTGGGCTCCTTTTTCCCATAAAAGATTTGACTTGATGGTCTTCTGAGGTTCGTTCCAACCTGGGCTGTTCTGTGACTCTGTGATTCTAGAGAGGAAGAGGTTGAACACAGATCACGACATGGGAAACTGCTGTAAGAAGAAGCGCACTCATGGCAGCTTAGAGACAGATGACAGCAGGAGTCCCTTACACAGTGCGTGGTGACACCCGCTCTCGAGCACAATGACCTTATAATATCAGTAGCAGAGCAGTCAGTGACAGGGTAATGGCTGCCTGACTGATGAGCTCAGCTGTACAAGCTTGCAGTTGCAGGAGGATTTACGGATTTCTGCATTTCACTTCCCTGTTGACAGACTACTGGCCTATGGATCAAGGTCTTCTGCGTGCCTGTTTGTCCACACACAGACATGGCACACAGTGGTAAAGGGGAATTTCCCCTCTTTCCAACCACATCGCCCTCCTTTGCAGTGTTGGGTGTGACCCATTCCCTGCAAACAGTTGCAGTTTTCATTAAGTTCTGATCCAAAGGAGTTATGTGCACTGGCTATACCCATGATCTGCTCACCTTGTAGTTTCTGTGATACACCACTGATGTGCATTTTGGCTTTTGGGAGATCATTTTTTGATGTGCTGTAGATTCTTCAAAACTTTATTCACCCTACTGCTGCCTTCAATGACCAGTGATACTGAAGGTATCAGGTGCCACTTGTCAGTGTCAGTGGCCTCCCTGGGCACTCTGTACTATAACAACAGTGGATCCCACCCAAGATCCATCGGGTGAGCCCACTGGGAACAGCCTTTGCTAAATCTGAACGAAAAAATTAAGCACCCAGCCCTGGGATACCAGTCTTGATGCAGAAGAGACTAAAGAGCTCTTATTTATTTTGGTCTGATCAGAAATGGGCTAGTATGGAATCTCCTTTGGAAAATTTCCCACTACAGCGACAACAAAATGCTACTCCATTGATTTAAACAGGTTACAAAAGAAAAGCTATTTTTCTTAAAAATATTGGAGGCTTTTGACCTTTTAAAAATAGATGCTTGATAC